AAAAAAAAAAAAAAAAAAAAGAAAGATTTATTGAGTGATTTGTATTATAGGGCATAGTGCTGAAAGTATAATAATGAACAAGATAGTTGTGATTCCTGCTTTCAAAGGCTACATTACATCTAGGAAGATGCCAAATAATTACAGTCAGTTATTTCGGTGAAGCTTCGGCACCATCTGTAACAGAAACACAGAGACCCTTGATACTGTACAACAAAGGGTCTCATAGCTTCTCAGGTTTGCACATGCTGTCCTGGGAAAGTGTAAGGAAGGAGGGGCTGCACCTAAAGGAGAATTTGATTGGTGAAGCATGATGTGGGAGGAGGGGTGTAGACCTGATGGAGGCTGCTGTGAGGGGTGAGTAGCAACAGTTAGAAAAGTGAATCAGCTTGGGGTGGGGGTGAGATGTGGGTTGCTGAGTGGGTCTTTACCCAGTGGTCTCAGTTTCTGCTGCCTGCTGAGAGTGGGATGAGAGAAGCAAGGACAGTGGAGAGTGTCACCTGGGAATGGCAGCGGGTGCTTATGGTTTTTCGTGGTTGTGTGGTTTTCTTTAGCAGTATTGAATTCCACTTTTTTAGGGTTAGAAATAATGACTGATTGTTTTCTCTAAGACCAAGTATTTTCTTTAACAAAAATCAGTGAATAGTTTATAGAAAGAAACTAGTAAGATTTAAGTGAAAGGCAAAACCAATATACTCCACTGGAACTGAGTCATTTGCCAAGCTTATGTCACTGTACGCTAGAGAATAATCTCTGGAGCCATATAAGAACTGCCCTGTGGTGCCCAGCAGGCCAGTGCTGCCAGCAGGAGTGCCAGTCCGTGCCTTGCCTAGGCTCTTTCACAGTGTGAACACTAATGCTACAGCGGACGGTCGAGGATCCATATTTGCAGAATACCTCAGTAGAGAAGCCTGGTGAGTGGACTCAGAAATGGTGCACACCAGACCAAGCCACGTTCGAGTAGGAAATGGGTGACACGTAGAAGAGAGTGTGCGCTCGCGGGCGCTTCCTTCACTGGTGCCTAGGACTCTAGCTCAAGTCGCTTCTACACAGGAAAGGTGGAATTCTGTCCAACAGTTTCTTCCTGCTGATTGAATTGAAAAATTCATAGTTTTCCATAATAGGTTATTTTACAGCTGAAAACGCACTATTTCTTGTCATTAATTGCTGCTAATGTTTTAAATTCTTTTAATGTTTTGAGTCTTCTGGATATATTGTATAAACAGTGTTCACTACTTTCAGGTAGAGCATAAGAAATGTTTTCTTGATAACATTTGTCTGTTTCTACTAAATGTACTTGTATCATTATGTGTTTTTGTATTTGAATGCTTAGAATTTCTTGGAACTATTAGTTTATTTTTTTTTTTTTACAAATATTTAAATTGGAAGAGTTTAGTAATGTCATGTTTGTTAGTTTTTATGAATTTTTATAATGTCTATGATTATTGTAAACATTTTTATTACCATATTCTTTATGAAAACTAGAGTCTAAAATTGCCATTTGTCTCTCTACTTCTTAAAGATACAAGGCTCATTGTACATGTTTAGGGAAGGGCCCTGGCCAGGTTTTCTGCTAGATTTGGTAAGGGGATTGCAGTTTTGGGGGAAATATGATCCTTGTTTATTTCAAGTTTTAAATACTGTATAAGGACAATTTATATGAAGCAATGCTTTTGAATGGACAGTTTAAAAAATCATGAATTGTCTTTTACAAGTGTTTAATTGACTTTTTAAAAATGTTTTCCTTGAGTTTCCACAATGTATCTAGTTGTGGGCTAAATGAATTAGTTTGCTTAAGCTTAGCAGGGCTCTGTGAAGATACTTGTAGTGCTGTCCTCATTGAGGGTGAAGGAACTGAATGCTGCATTAGAAAGGTTAACTAACTTGGCTAATGTTAGGTTCTAGGTCTGTCTCAAAGCATCCACTTTTGTTCTTGTCATTCTGTTGTTGTTTTATTTTTGTGTAATTATTGGGAAGCTGGGCTTTCTCTGTAGCGCTCCTATTCAGAGGTGTGTGAAATGGTTCCAAGCAATATGCTTATTTATCAAACTACATCAAAATATAACTGCTTTGTTCCTTGTTTTTCCTAAAAATGTGTGTTAAGTAGTCTTGAATCACGTAAGCTTAGTTTGGGAGACCAAATCACCTTTACTTCTAAGAGGTGGAGGATCCGTGTTACCCGGCTTTGGTGGAGAATTAAGCGTCTCCTGTAGCAGTGTGTGTGGAGGTCTCGAGCCTGGACATGGCGACGCCTTCACACTGTGCTTCTCTTGTGCAGAGCTCTCAGTACGTGCAGTGTGTCGCCGGGTGTCTGCAGCTCATGCTCCGGGTCAATGAGTACCGCTTTGCCTGGGTGGAAGCAGACGGCGTAAACTGGTGAGTGCCTGTTACTTTTCACGTAGAGTGACATTTAAAAATATTTTTACTTGATGTCTTCAAAGAAAGTAATACATTTAATCATGTAAAAGAAGTATTTTTAAAATATCTGCTTAACTGTGGATTGTACTGACCTTAGAAGTCAACAGTCAAACTCAGCGTTTCCCCTTACTTGGGCTGTATAACGTAATACTGGACAGAACAAATTCCTTGTACTCAATACAAAACAGTAATAAAATTATTTTACAGTGGCTTGTGGCAGTATCAGTAAGGAAAGGGCTTACCCCAAGAAAAGAGTGGCTATAAAGCTTTCTTTAGAGCCGTATAATGCAGCCCATTCTTTGTGGAGAACTTGGTAGAAACTTTTGAGGAGCTGCCTACCAACTTCTATAACCAGAAAAACCTAAAAAACCCAAAATGAACATTGAAAAGCCAATTTATTTCATGATGAGAGACTTAGCTATTTTTAAACCTAGTGCTCTTTCGTTGGGCTTCTTTTTTCCATTGTTAAGTTTGTGCAGGAAGTTAGATTGCTGATAGTAATCCCTGGTGAGCAGGGATTTAGAGTGCGGTGTGACTGGACGACGCACGCATTGCCAGGCCCTCTCATACTGCTGTACCTGCGGTGTACCTGGGAAGGGCTGTGAGCGTTCCGGGTCTTCTTTGTGAACACGTGTGTGCTGCTTCTGAGAGCCTGTTACTTCTGCAAATAGCTTTTTTTGTGTGGCCAGTTGAGCCCGCCCTGGGGGCAGGGCTGGTGCGGCATGTGGTGCCCAGGATTGAACCTCGGGCCCTGCGCACTTGCCTGAGCAGAGGCTGTAGACCGATGAGCTATCTCGCCAGCCCTTAATGTCTGTTTTTTTTTTTTTAATTTAGGGCAGGGTCTACAGGGTGTACAGGGGCTCACTATGTAGATCGGACTCAGTGATTTCTCCTGTTTTTAGCCTCCCAAGTGCTGTGATTCCAGGAGTGTGCCACCACGCCCAGTCTCATTTGCTGTCACAGCATGCTCCGGGGGCAAGGCTGGTGTGGCATACAGGGGATTGAACCCCGGCTGCTGCACTCTTGGAAGCAGGTGCTTTAGTCCGCTGAGCTATCTGGCTCACCCTCCAAATGTCTATTCTTAATGTCTGTTCGTAGTCAGGAATTGGATTAAATTGTCACAAATACTTCTTTTCATCAACTGAATAAGTTAGTAATGTTCTAATATGTAAAGTTTTAGTCTAGTCACAATTATTTAATTCTCAGTTTCCAATAAAAATATTTTAGTTTTTATCTGGTCAAATAGATCCTTAAAATGAATATTTTTAGTTTTTTTATGAAAAATTAACAGAATTAAGAATGAAGAGAAAAAAAAATAAAAAATAAAAAATAAATAAAAATAAAATAAAATAAAGCAATGCATCTCAGTTATAACTATCAATGTAAATGGGCTCAATGCACAATTTAAAACAAATAGAAAAAAAAAGAATGAAGAAAAAGTGAAAACTTACAAATTTTAGTAAGTACTTAAACATAGCGATTTTTTTTGGTAATAAGTAACTCATAAAAGATGAAAGAAAAGCACTGTATGTCACTGAGTAGAATGGTCTAGGTTTTGGTTACAGAATGTTTTCTTGAAGTCTTCCATGTTGAATGCCAACTTGGTGGAAGTGTTGTTGTTCTTTTTTGCTTAGAAAAATACATTGCTAACTCATTCACTTTTAAATTTGAGAAAATGTATTATGCAGTCACCTAACGATGCAGTTTAAGGTTTCACTTATATGACCAACATCACCATCAGTGTTAATGAACAGAATGCTATTTTTTTCTTTGCTTTCATTTTCTGAATAACTTAATTATGAGATGCTGTCCACTGTAAATTGCCTTATGGTTACCAAGCAGAAAGTTCTGAATTCTCAGCTGTGTTCACGCTGTGTCAGGAGATGCAATAGGAAGACTCATAGGGGTCAGCGGCTCGTACTCACAGCTGAGAACTGCTACAAAGATGTGGAGAGATGCGTAGCTGGGCCATGAGGGACAAAGTCACAGGCTGAGTTGGGCAGAAGCCGCATGAGGAGTGGGAGCTTCACCCTGCTCCCCCGCCACAAGCTTACACCACGGCATCTTCCCCAGTAGTGGAAGTGCAGTATTTTTGTGCAGTTTCTGTCTAGGAAATTGGGTGTAGACTCATCTGCTAGGGCTTTGCTGAAGATTGGCTATAGGCACATGTACCTGTAATGTATCAAAGTGCCAGACTCCTGAGAGGACAGTGTCTGGCCAAATCAAGATATTGTAGCCTGAGCGGTTTAACAGCAGAAACTTACTTCTCACAGATCTGGAGGTTGGCCCAAGATCAAGGGTGTGGGCATGTATTAATAGAGATGTGTGTTCTTAGCTTGCTGGTAGGTAGCAATTTTAAAAAAGTCATTTAATCTTTTCTCTTTTTTTCAGAAATACTAAATACTTCCTACGTTTGCATTTCTTTTGTTTAGGATTGAAGGCTTTTGTTTAGGGGCTTCAAGCAGGAATAATGTTAAGAGAAAAAAAATTCAAGTGTATTTTATTCGAAGAGAGGAAGATAAATGTTTTAAAATCTTTTTTTTTTTTTAATTCTCATATTCTATTGTCAGACATCAATGATATGGTATCTTTTTTTTTTAAATTTTATTTATTTATGTTTGTGTGTGTGTGTGTGTGTGTGTGTGTGCACGCGCGTGGCCAGCTCTGCCCACCAGGGGGCAGGGCTGGCTGGTATGTGGTGCTGGGGGATCGAACCGTGGTCCCTGTGCTTTGCTAAGCTTGTTCTAAGTAGGTGCTTTAGACCACTGAACCATCTCACCAGCCCAATGTTTTAAAATCTTAATACATTTTGATCAATATAGTCTGCTAATTATTTTTGGTGAAATGGCCTATTATTTGCATAGTGCCACACTGTTTCGGGGTAATTATATACCTATGTAAGATAAAAACAGCTTTTCATTATGTTGTATATTGTTGATCTTTTTCAGCAGACTGAGGGCTTATGAACTGTAATCAAAATACATAGTGAATGTTTAAATGCAAAAGAATTCCTTACAGTAAAAGACATATTGCTGTGCATCCCCTTCACAGTATTCTCCCTTACTTCAAATATTCGTATCCTGGACCTAGGAGAGAGCTCAGTGGTAGAAGCACCTGCCTGGCAAGTGCAAGGTCCTGAGTTTGATCCCTGGTACTGGAGAAAAAAAAGTATTCCTATCCTATAATTTTTGCCGCTTTCTGAAATAGCTCTCGAAGTCTCCTTGTGTGTCTTCGTGAGCTGTGCCCCAGGACACAGTGGGTGGTGCTTCGAGTGCCGCCCAGGGAAAGGCAGGGCATGGAAGCGTCACGTGTGCTCATGCACCTGAATGACCACCTTGGTGCGGTGCATCTGCTGGCTTTTCTCCAAAATAAAAATGACCATGGAAGGGAAAGGTTTAGAACTGAATCAGGACATGAAGGCAGCCATAACAGTACAGCTTTACAAGATGTACATGAAAGAGGACTTCCAGAACTGCCTGGGAAAGTGGCAGGCGTGAGGGCATGTGTGTGTATTTGACATGAGAAAGATTAGGGGGATTAGTGTTATCTGTCATGATAATACTTTTTGAAAACTTAAGCATTCGCTATATTTTTGGGTCATGATCATTAAAACGTACTGGAGTCCCAAAGGTACCCACTTCTCCTGGAAGTAATTACCACCACAAATTCAGGTGGCATTTGTGAACATTGATAGCCTTCAGTTTTAAGTATTTTGAAAGTGTAAACTAACACAAAGTTTAAAGATAAAATTTCTTCTGCAATAGTTTGTCTTTTCTTTTGAACTGTGATAGGGAAAAGGGGAAAGGAAGAAAGGGAAAAAGAAAACAAATATATATTTATATGCGAGATAGATAAGATATATAGCTAATTTCTCTTAGTTCATTGAAAAGAAAGGTTTGTGCTAATGTTTGGACAAGATGTCACGCCCGGGCTTGTGCTCTGAGTGACACTAGGAAGATACCAACTCGTAGTGTATTATTTATTGTTACTCTCCTACTAACCTGTTTTGAAACTTTTATTGTTTTTTTTCTTTTAAAGTAAAAAAAGAATTCTCCAAAGTAGTTGGAACCTCACGCTGACGTCGCCTGAGGAGGCGTGAGGTGGCCATGGCTTTGCAGGGCAACAGCGCGCTGGAGCTGTCTGTGGCCAGTAAATCAGCATCTGCTCACTATATTGGTTTGGTTAAAAGAAAAAGAATTAAAACATAAAGCAGAATACTAATAATGATGGTGGATTTCTTTCTAATCTTGAATATGAAACTTATTTTTACTAAGCTGTCTGGAGAGTGCTTTGCTGCTAACTATAGGGGATGCAAGATGTCTATCTATTCCTTTTTAGAAGTTTATTTACCTGTTTGGCAAGTATTAAAGCCAGCAAAGCTAACTTTCAGGCTTCTACAGCTTCGTTTTGTGACTTTCTCTGTGATTTAGAAACCACACCAAGCTTGCAGACACACAGTTTATTAAAGGAGGCATCCCAGCAAGTGTCTGTGGCATATGCATTATGGTGACATATACGACCTATGATTACTTTTTAGACCTATGCCTACTGATGAATTATTAATGTTAATTTTATGAATATTATTATAATACACAATGTATGCTTAAAAGGAAAATAAAATATCAATAAATATTTTTAGTATGTAGTGTTTAGAATACACATCAGCAATTTTTTTTTATTTTTTATTTTTTGGTGGCCTGCTCACCCCACCCTAGGGGTGGGGCTGGTGTGGCATGTGATGCAGGGGATTGAACCACAGTCCCTGTGCTGCCTAAGTCTGCCTAAGCAGGCGCTTTAGCCCGCTGGGCTATCCTGCCGGATAGTCCTCATTGTGGCCTAGGAAGTTTATAATCTTATGGGCAAGTTATTGGTGTTCTAGTGAGTTAATTTTAATCTACCCCACACATCAGTATTTTTTGTCTTAACTGTATACTTTCTTACAAAACCTAAAAAAGAACAGCAGAAATAAATTCCTATATGATCGTCAATGAAAACACAAAAGTCTGCTACAGATATAATCTTTGCTTCAATTATCACAACCAAGGCAGTCTTCACACATGAAAATCACATGTTCTGTACACGTTGTACACATTCCATACAGAATACACACAGCACATGTGGTTCCATACACATACACAATATAGTGAGCCATTCTTAGTCCTCATTGTGGCCTAGGAAGTTTATAATCCTATGGGCAAGTTATTGGTGTTCTAGTGAGTTAATTTTAATGTACCATTTCCAGCCCACCCATGGTGAGAATAAGGGCACTGAGGCATATTTGTAGTTATGGGGAGCCCAGCGGTCCTGAGTCCAGCCATGATGATGGCTAACTAGAGCAAAGGCCTTGACCCAGGCTTGAACCAGGGTTTTATTGATTTGTGAAGAAGGGAGTGGCTCGGGTTGAGTGATTGTGAGAATGATGGGAAGGAAGTAGGAGAGAGCTGTGAGCCAGACCAGGTAGCAGGCCTGAAATCACCTCTGCATTATGCAGACAAGGAGATGCAAGAGGAGTGACCTACATCATAACACAGTTGAGGTGGGATCTCATGCTTTAGGGTCGGCGCTTCAGCTCTGATGTGTGATCTATGCTCTGGGAAGTCGTAGCCTCTAATCTTGAGGCTCACTCATCTTAAGGCTCAATCCCCACTGATAATGTGGAGCAGGGCTCTCTATTCCACCTCACTCGGCCACATATGTTTTATTTGGGGCTGTAGGGAGCAGGCAGGGACAACACTACCCTGTCATCTTGGCTTCAAAGACTACACATCAAGACCTCACTGGAGTGATTTGCATTGCTTAAAGCCCATTGAGGGGATAAGAAAAAGACCTAGCCAGCTCTGCATTGCTTAAAGCCCATTGAGGTTCCCAGGGTCTCCTGCACAGCTGCACAAAGCCACATTTTCTTTCTTGGTGGGCTGCTTTGTCTCCACATCAGTACGTGGAGATAGGGCCTCCCCTCCGTTACCCGGAGACCCCCACATGCATAGCATCCGTGTCTTAGTTTCCTGTCCTTTTTGTAGGGCATCTTAGAGTTGATGTCTTTTCTTTTTTACTGGCCTAGTAAGTCTGTGATGTTACATCTGCTGGTTTACCTATGAGTTCTCCAATCTGCTCTGGGATTTTTTTTTATGTAGTTCCCTGGGTTAGAACAATTTTATTCTTCCTCTGTTGTAAATGATCTTGTGTCAGTTCCAGTCCAAATCCTCTAAGAAAATTTCTTTGTGATATTTTGCACTATTTTCTTTGTAAACTATGAAACTATTTAAACTACTTATGCCAGACATGTTTAGGATCGAGTAAAACACACTACTGACCAACCCATTGTTTTGAGTGATATTGTAGTTGCTGCATAACTTATCAACATCTATTCTGCCTTTGATTCTTTGTAAGAAGTTACTGTCTCGGGGTTCGTTTGTATCATGTTATCTCCCTCAGTCTTGCCATCACGATGCAGTGTTGACGTCAGTATTTTTCTTAGCCATTTTCAAGGCCAGTGATGTGTCTCTGAAATCCAAAGACTACAGCCTGCACTGCTCCTTTTTGTGCTTTGTTCCTGTGTATATTTCCTATGCTGGTGAACTGATGCTGTCTTAGCAAATGTAACGTCAGTGGGTAACTGGCAAACCAGTTGTTGGATGTCAAGTTCTGATTAGTTTGGGAGATAGGAACAACAAGTCTGTTTACAGCATCTTGGGTTTTTACTGCACTAATAAAGACCTGGTGCTTGAGTTCCAGGATAAATTTCTAAAAAATATGTCTTTGCATCTACCAGATAATACTGCATTTTGAAGGCTTATTTGGCAAAGATTGCCTAAAACTACAGTGACCACAAAATATTCCAGGCTTTTCACCAACAGTGGTATGTTCACATGTTGTGCAGATGCCTTGACAGTTTTCCAGTTGGAGCTCTTTTCAAGCGGTAGAGGGGTAGCGGCCAGATGATCAGTTCATTTTCTTTCTTGGTGGGCTGCTTTGTCACGCAGCCACAGACATTGTGAAGGAAATCGAAGCCCAGTGTCACTGTTGTTCTACGGACCTCAAGCCCACACCTATTACTTCTCCGTAAATCTTTTACATTCTGTGGTTACCATGAGAAATGCCTTGCTAAGTACTTTAGTCATAGGACGGCTTGATCTCACTAGTAGCTTAAGCCTCTTGAGCTCACTGTGTAGTCCAGGGTTGCCTTGAACTTCTGGTGAGTCCCCTGCCTCTGTCTCTGAAGTGCTGGGATTACAGGTGTGCACCACCATGCCCAGCTCAGTTCAGATTGTGAGGTGTCTTAAACATTTTTGAACATGACTATTGATACATACAATATTTCCCTTTCATTTTAGATTGTGTTTCACAACTCTTGTAGTGTATCCTGCATTACAATTTCTAACATTAAACCATAGTGCTGGCATTCTGCCCAGTAGGTTTCAATCCCTGCCAAAAACCTAGTAACGTTTTCTGACCTGCTTCTAACATTGAATCATTCAGGAATCCGTGATCATTTTGTAGCATTTTGACTAATCATATATTTATATATTTCTATATTCTCCATCATCTGAATCATGACTTTCGTTCTGTACTCCTCTGTCATATCTTGCTAACTTTTTTGGCTCACAAGATCCAAGTGATCGTCGATGGTAGTCAGGTCACCTGAGAACTCAGTTTGAGCCTCCCAAAGTTGTGGGGGCCCAGTCTGCTAGACCTACTATCTGTAGTCACATTGACACTTGTTCTTTTACAACTGCCAAAAGCAGCTGCACCTGGCTGCTTCAGTGGGAAGGAATTCAGAGGTTCTCAGGTGTTGTTGCAGCGAGACTCATCGGAATAGGAAGCTGGGAGGGGAAAGGTGCTCCTCTGTCTTCATAGTCAGCCCCGTTTGGCTCAGGTGGAACCTCACAGGTGCCAGCAGGGTGGCAGAGAGGAGGTTCCCAGGGTCTCCTGCACAGCTGCACAAAGCCACAAGCAGAAATTTACAAACTGGACTAGTCAGAGAGCAGAGGAACCAGGCAGAATGGTGACAGCATAAAAGGATGAAGTTTTGTCGTGTTCGGAACAAGAGTGTCAGTATTTTAAAAAGTAAGTTTTATGTAACAACCCAACCTAGAGTAGATTCAAGGGAGAAGCTATGCATGAGAAAATTAAGGACAGTTCAGTAAATTTAGAACTGTGTATAAATCACAAAAATAGAGAATTGGTGCAGATACAAGCCTTATAAGAAGTTAATAGTAGGCTTACTTCATAAAATTAAGACTTCCAAAACCTTTTCCTTTTTATTAATAGAACAGTTTTAGGTTTACTGAAAAATTCAAAGTACAGGAAGTGCCCGTACGTGCTCTGCTCCAGAGTGTTCCTGCTTACTTTCGTTTTGTACAGTATGATAGACTTGGTCCGGTAGAATTGGTATTGGCACATTAACACAGGTGCAGTGTGTATGTGTCGGGGTCACTGTGTTGAACGCTGTCTCCCTGCTGGCCATTTTAAACGGTCTTATCTGACCACTCCTGCCTTTCCTGGCCTGCATGCAGATAATCTCTCGGGAAGTTTCCCGAGCAGCTTCTCTCTCCTCCAGGAGCTTCTTTCATTTCCATGAAGCCTCCGTATTTTCTTATTGATGAAATAGGAGAGAAAGCTCGAAGCTTAGGCTTTTTTCGGCCCTAAATTCTGTGATTGCTGTGTCAGATTTGAACTTATCCCAGGTTTCTAAAGCCATGCCCTCCTTTTTCTGAATTTCCTTTGTGTTTTAAGGCCATCCTCTTCGTTGCTGTACTGAAAATCTGGGTATGAAATCTGGCTTGCAAGTGCGCCTGTGCTCCATCACCACCCCTGGTGATTGTCATTCTCTGATGTCTGTCCCAGCCTTCTGCTTATGTCCTAGGCGCCTGCAAGTCTTACATCTAGGTGTCCACCCAGATTGCATCTTTCCTTTCCTGTTGCTTCCCTGCATCTGCCTCTTGAGGTTCTGTGGGTTTTGGGGAAAGGGGTAGGTGGGGCTGTACTGGGAGTGGCCCTCGGCGTTACTGCTAGGGGAGATGGGGAGATCATCCAGAGGACTTGTTCTGTTACTATGCGAAGAACATGGTCTCTCGTTTGTTTTTTGTTTGATTGTCATACTAAATGTTTTCTAATTGTGTGCTCCTTTTCAGCATCATGGGTGTTTTGAGTAACAAATGTGGTTTTCAACTCCAGTACCAAATGATTTTTTCAATATGGCTCCTGGCATTCAGTCCTCAAATGTGTGAACACCTGCGGCGCTACAATATCATTCCTGTTCTCTCTGACATCCTTCAAGAATCTGTCAAAGAGAAAGTAACAAGAATCATCCTTGCAGCATTCCGTGTAAGTGCTTAGTATCTTTTATTGCTGCTATTGTTATTTGTGGTGTGTGCACATGCGTGTGCATGTACGTGCGTGCGTGCGTGCCTGCCTGTGTGTTTGTGTGACATTTTGTACTGTGAAGTATGTTTGAATTCTTAGTGAGTGGGAAAAAGACATTTTTCCTCCATGTAGATGTGAGACTGTAGAGGCTTAGTGAGTAGAGAGTGAAGTACCACTGATTTGGCCTTAGGACGGGTAAGTGTGATAGATGGGGGGTAACATTCAGGGAATGGAATGAGTGGCTTCTGGAATGCTTGGAAGGAGATGCAATTGGGTTATGTTCAGATAGAGGAAGCCCTTTGTTGCGGCTGATACCTAGGTGTCCACCCCAAGCCTCACAGGTGGCTGGATCTGGGGTGTGTGAAGCTTGGGTCAAGGGTGTGATGCTGGGATTAAGGGCAGCTGCCCTGGGTGTAAGCACACCCTGCCCCAAGGATGGGAAGCCTGGAGAGGATATAATGGGTAGAGCGGGGGTGGCTGCTGTTGCATGCTGCTGTCTCCTCGCTTGCTGCTTTGCTGCATGGCTGCCTTCTCCTCTGTGCTGCCCCTCTGCCACCTACGCTGCCTTGGAACCAGCTGTGGGCAGAAACCTCTCCAAACTGTGAGCTGCAGTAAACCCTGCCTCCCTTAACTTTGGGTCTCAGGTGTTTTGTCTCAGCAATGAGAACAGTAGCTAAGGCATCTTTTTTTTGCAGTTAAGAAACTACTATTGAAAGAAACTTGGTTCATATGGGGCCTATATTTCAGATTCTGATCTACTGACTTGTATATTTCTGAGGCAACTATAAAAATTTATAATTTTAAGCAGTAAAATTACCTTAGTAGGATATTAGAATTTGTCAAAGTATGTAAGTCAGCGTCCTCCCTTGAGCCGCTGAGTTAACTAGTAAAGAAGAGCTGAGCTAGAAGCTATATTCTAGATTGCTCATCAGGCGTAGCACTGAAATATTGTGGCTTGGCTCCCAGAGCTAGTGTCTTCATTGTCACAGGTACCTATAGAGAGTCTTGTTGGTTGCACTAGGATTTATATGGGGTCCTGGAAAGTGGCTGGACTGTAAGACCATTATGGAAAAGTAGTGCTAGTGGGCACATTAGGGTTTTGTGCTGGGCATCCTTCTCAGGACTTTCCATCTGTTAATTCATTTAGTGCTCTGTAACATAAAGTTATTGTTGTGTATGTGGATGTCGTTGGTATTGGTGTTGGTCTTTCCTTTGCACATGCAGGTGCTGAAGCACGTAGGTAACCCTGTGGGTAGATGGTAGTTAGGAAAATCAAGGTTGTGTATTTAGAATCTGTGCTTTTAGCTATTATTCATTATGCTTCTAAAAACATAAAACCAAAAAATACAGCTATATTGCAAAAATTTATGTAGTGCATATACATCCTGTTTGTCAGATATAGTCACTAACATCTTTCAGATATTTCTAAGCATGTAAGATAAATATATAAGTAGGTATCTGATTTTGTTCCATATTTAAAAATAAAATGTTATCTTAATGTTCTACTTTTTTTTTTTTTTGGCAGAACTGGGGATTGAACTCAGGCCCTTGCACTTGCCAGGGAAGTGCTTATTCTACTGAGCCATCTCCCCGGCCCCTATTCTGCTTTATTTTTAACAAGACATAATGAATATGTTTTTATTTCTATAATTGTAGAGCTTCAGCATTTAGTGGCTACCTGTCACTGTATTGGTGAGAATGTTAACCAGTTTCCTATTGATGGGTGTGTAGGATATTTCTGGTTTCTTTCACATATGCTCGCCCATGTTGGTAAATAATTCTTCTGAAAATAGTTCTAAGGCTGGAATTGCTGAGTCAAAAGAATATGATTTTTTAAAAAAATACTTTTATAGATAACAACAAATACTTTTTGAAAAATATGACAATTTACATTTCTATGAACTATATATTGTGCTCATGTTTTTTTTTTTTTTTTTTTACTTTTTAGCTAGCATTTAATATTACCTTTCTTTGGATTTTTATAAAATCTGAAGTGAAGTCATTGTTTCAAATTTGTATTCTTTTAGTAATGAATGAAACTGAACACAAATTAATACTTCATCCACTTTTTGTTTAAATTGCTTATTCATAGCTTTTATCACCTCTTCACTTTAAAATTTGATGTGGAGTTACTGGATGTCTGTGGTTAATAATAACAACTAATGTTTATCCACAGTTTATGAGGTAGAATATCATCCTGATTACTTCACTTGTGTGTCTTGTTTAATCATTCCAAGGGCTCCATGCATTTGGTCAGGTGGCCATGAGAGGTGAAGTAGTTTGCCAAGATAGCTAAGAAGTGGGAGGTTGGAGACTCACACTCAGGCATTAGGACGCATACTTTTAGCTATCATGGTGACCTGTATTTGATGCTGAGAATAAAAATTACCATATTTTATTGAGTTATTTTTATATAATCTTTGTGATTAATAAGTAGGTTCTATTATTAATTTTTTAAATGAGAAAACCAAGACTTTCAAGGTTAATTCTTTTTTTTTTTTTTGTGGAACTGGGGATTGAACCTAGGCCTTGTGCTTGCCAGGGAAGCATTTATTCCACTGAGCCATCCCTGTGGCCCCAAGGTTAATTCTTTAGTTAGAATAAGATTGAAATTTAAGTGATCTTTTATCTCCAAAACCACTTTCACCACTTTGCCACCTGTTTCTTCCTCTTCCTCTTCTTCATCCTCTCCTTCCCCTTCCCCTTTCTCATCCTCTTCTTCTCCTTCCCCATCCCTACCTTCCCCTTCTCCTTCCCTATTCTCTTCCCCTTTCTCTTCCCTTGCTCTTTTCCCCTTCTCCTTCTCCATATCCTTCCCCTTCTCCTTTCCCTTTCTTGGGCTCCTTCCCCTCCCCCTTCCCCTCCTTCTTCCCCTTCTCATTCTCCTCCTCCTTCATTCCTTTCTCTGTTTCCTCCAGCTGCTCCTCTTTTTTCCTTCTTGACCTTCTTTCCTTCTTCTTGTGTGTTTTTTCAGGAACTTTAAGAGTGTCATTAAAAGAAAGACTTTGAAAAAGAAAATCAGAAGTAATATGAGAGGAGAAGGCAAATACTTTTACTTAAAATACCTTGGGAAGCATTAGCACTCTTTCCCATCTGCCTGACAAGGGTGAGTGAGTGACAGTGTAGGCGGGGATGTCCCACGGAGTCCTGCAGACAGATGGAAGAGGAGGGCCCAGTGTGGCTTCTGGGATGCTCAGTGCTGATTAGCTACCGGTTGAGTGCCACTCCAGGTGTGGCCATTGCTCTTGATTATTGATGTTGCGAAAATGTTGTGCTGTTTTTTTCATGTACTAAAAAACTGTTCTGTGGCCCTTAAGAAGTCTCCTCTGAGACCCTACAGACCCTATACTAAGTATATTAAAAAAAAAGTCTCCTCTTAAGAATTCAGCAAATTCTCATTTCTCTTCCTCATGCTCGGCTGTGGTGGCTTTTCCGTTCATACTTCTAGCAAACTGTCTGTGTGAGTTGTCAAGGCAAGTTTCAGTCTAGTCCAGGTAGAATAGGAGGTTGTGTAAATGGCGCTTTACTTTGAAGTACTTTAAAAGCTGAGCAGTATGCTTTGTTAAGTGTTTTGTTATCCGTGTTTTTGTTAAGTGAAGACCAAAAATTCCAGAAATAGCATTATCTTGTTTCCTTTAATTTACAGAACAGTTTGAGTCAGTTTTATTTGTTAGATACTATGCCAGCTGTTAGGGACCACAGGTGACCAAGCGAGACCTTGAAGATCTGTTACCGTTGTGAAGCAGACTGTATCGTATATGCCAGCGCAGTGCAGTGATTAGTAATGCCCAGAGGTGAGAGTGGTAGAAAAGAGGAGAGGAGTTTGAGGAAGTATTTTGAGAGGTGATGGTGTCAGAGCCCTTTGAGGGCTTATGAGTTTTTTAGGAGACCAAAGGTCGAGAGGTTGATAAATCTTGCTAACAAGTGAAGAAAGTCTTGCGTAACCTTTGACTGTCCCTTCTTGTAGAAGGGTTGCTCCCCCTTGCACGGGTGAATCCCAAGGGATGGCACTCATCCTTCTGGGCACAGTTCTGGTCTGTGGTGATTTATTTTCTGAAAGCGCAGACGTGCTCTGTAAACCGTGCTGGTGCTTTCGTCACCGCGGCT